TTGAACTGACTCTTTTATATTATAATAAAATATTGATCGGGACCATCCTGAGTAGATTCATCAGCTTGTCTAGTGATGAGGGTCTTGGCCTTTTCTATGACATAGGCAAAATGATTGATGTAAAAAGAATTTTTTTTTTTCAGAACCAAGGTGCAAGACTAACTTCTAAGCCCTTTACTTGGGATGAACTGGCAGCTTCAGACCTGTGCTTCCATCTGATGCCAAAATATAGTGGCTTTATTAGCCCTGGATGCTCAAAACAAAGGACCATCTTGTGACTTTCTAAAAAAACGAAGAGGTGAGGAAAGGGGGACTTTCTTTTTGTCAGCTGCCATGGCCGTTGTGACGTTTGCAGGACTATAATCTGAAAGTTGAGTCAACGTGGCACCCAAGGGTGTCCCTGTGCACACCATGGCTCAGTCAACAGACTATCTGCATCACAGCAGGCTGGGAGCTTGTCGGAAACAGCACAGCCGAGGATCACAGCTGGGCATGTCCGCTGTAGGACAAATAAACCAATAAACCAATGAATTCTCAGAAACTCAGAGCTTTGAGAAGCCACCAAACTAATGATTTTTTTTTTCAATCATATCCCATCATTTTAGTAGGATTAATACACAGAGATTGCTCTGGGGATTTCTAACAGGGAAAAAAAAACCCTATCTGTAAGGGATCCACTTAAGATTTTTAATTATATAATGCTCATGAATTTTTTTATCACTTGTCACTGACTCGGAGATGTGCATATCTTCACACTGTCATTACCTATATGTACACAGTCAAACCTTCAAGATGGATGTCAATTATTCAGAACAGATTCTCAAAGATGCCAGTGAGAGTTATCATTTAAGGAATGCTCTGACCCTATAGCCATGGGATCATCTACTTAAAAAATAAATAAATAGAGACATTAATCCTGAAGGCTCAGATATGAATGTCAATTATCTTAGGAATGTTTGAACCATTACTAAATTTAATGTTTCTTCTTCTTCTTTAAAAAAATTTTTTTAATTGTGCATTGGTGTTTTGCCTGTATGTATGCCTGTGTGAGGGTGTCAGATCTTGGAGTTACAGACAATTGTTAGCTGCCATGTGGGTGCTGGGAATTGAACCCAGGTCCTGGAAAAGCAGTCATGCTCTTAACCACTGAGCCATCTCTCCAGCCCCCTTATGTTTCTTCTTATGAATTTACAAACTTCATGTAAATAAGACAAAAAGTGCTTTAAACAATTATAAGTTTTAAAAAATCCAAACAATACATAAGTTGTATTATGTCAGAGTTTAATTGGATGAATGCTTTCCTTCTTTAACAGACACAAACTAACAGACACACAGACTAATGACTAATAATCACCCTGTTGACATCGCAGAATCAATGAAATGTGGTAGTTATTGGTTTGCTTAGCAGTAGAATGCATTCCATTTTACCCATCTTTAATCTCCTTCTAGAGCACTACGTTATGAAATCTAAAACCTTACTCTTGCAAGCTGCCTGAAAAACATCATCCTAACTTGATCTGACTAGAAGTATTTCGGGGTTAAGATGCATGTGCTGTAAAACTCAATTTTAATAGCTCACTCTTGGTTCCAAAGCACGCTCACACATCCCAGCTTACGTCTCTAACAGTAGACCAGAAGCCTGAGTCCCTGCCGCCATTTCCTGGACAACATGCTGTGCCTACCTTCCTCTGTAAATATATTTAGGAAGTACTCACTGAATAAAACACCAAACAGTGCTCTCAAGAATGAAAAGAATTCGGTAGTTCTCGAGGTAGCAAATCAAAATTTCAACTTCCGTGTAGTCTAGTTTAGAAAGCTGGTCTGGAAACCAACCATTTCTGCCTAGAATTGCATTGTTGAGCACAGACACTTGCTGTTTATCAATATTAATGCTTTATTTTTTTAATTTAACATGATAAAACTTTAAGGCTATGAATGATCACCTTCCAGGTATCCTCCTCTCTCTTCTAGACTAAAATTAAGAAAACGTAGGGTACTTGACCTGAAGGGAACTTGAAAGAAGCTGAAGAGAAAGCCAATGAGTAATGCTGTTTGGGGGGGGGGGGATAAGTGTGAGAGACTCAAGGCATCACGCTGTCCATTGGATCTATCTGTGACTGGAAACGAACTCAAATATTTCTCCCTAAACGACAGAATGCCTGTGAGCTATCCTCATTCAATGAGGAGAGCTGAAGAGCTGAAGAGTGGTGCTTTCTTCCATGCGCGTTCCCACAGAGGAGAGACTAAGGAGGTAACAGAGACCTTCAGTACCTGAAGAGAGGATACAGGGAGGGAGAAGACCGACCCAAGCCCTAAATATGCCCAAGCTGAGCTAGAGTATACCCAGCTCAGAAAAAGTCTAACATGAGGAAGAGAGGAGCTCAGGGACAAATGGTTTCCTCAACTGACAAAGAAATCAGCTTTGCTGTGTTTTCTAATTGATAACTTGACAGTAACATTTATCTTTAAGTAAATATAATTTAAGCCAAACAAATTATTTACAAATAAAATCATGTATATCTAAAGCAAGTATTCTCTAAAGCGCTTTAGTTTTTCTTGATCTTGCTCTACAGTAGTTACATTTATAAATACCTTGTAAAAAACCCCCAAGATTTGTTTCCATAGACAACAATTAGGACTTATTGTGTGTCAGTGTGTCCAGGTCAGCCGTTTTGGAGACCTTTATAAAGTGCTGCAGACTGGCTGTTTTATAAACAACAAAACTCTCTAGAACACGGTTCTGGAGGCTGAAAGTCCAAGATCAGGATGGCTGGGTTTCCATGAGTCCCTCTTCTGGCTTATCCTTTCAATGATCTCATCTTTCAATGATGCCTCCCTTGATTTCCCCCTAGGTCAGATTTCATCCCTCACCCAACCTTGCATGTCATGTCTGTTCTTCTTCTATAGCCTCTACAGGGCAGGTACCAGGAAACAAAGCCAGTTCTGTGATCAATGGCATGGTCCTCATAATGCCTGCCTCAGATCTTATATGCCCTAGAAGTTCATGGCATAGTATAGCCTTTAGGGGAGAAAAAAGGCAACTTTTGGAGGGTAGCATGAAAAACACAGTCTTCCAAGTGACAGTGAGTGGGAGAGCCATGGGCACCCTAACTTTCTCCCAGCTGCACAGGGGGTTAGGGAATGGCACATAGGGGATGCTCTCTCCCACCACCTCTTTTCAAACAAACATGCTGAAGGCCACTGCAGTGTCAAATTACTACACATTCATGGAAGATGACACATCACTATCTATTTACCCTTATTCTGCCTCCCCACTGCACCAAGATCATCACACTTTATGACTCTCACTCCTCTGAAATTAAGGGGAAGCAGAAGCCACTGATTTATCCATCATGTAAAATACACACCTTGGAGTCAGACTACCCAAATTGGAACCCTGAATGCACAGTTGTTAACAGTGTCGTTTGTATCGGAACCTAGATCTCCTAGATGCAAAAAGGGACAGGAGAAGGTCTGCTTTCTTGAGTTGTTCTAATATCTCGGTGCCTGGCAAATAGTGATCACTCAAAATATATTGGTGATGATGTGGACTATGGTTAGGACTCCAAGAGACTCCCCTGATGTCCCGGTTCCTTATAAACCAATGATTCTTGGTGTCCTTAAAGCACCAGAGTGGATGGACATTGAGAAAAAGAAAGGAAGTGGAGAAGGTCATTGGGATGTGACAGACGCTTAGGCTGTGTCCTTGCCCACTAAATTTTACAATAAGTTTGCCAGGGGTAGGAGAGGTGGACAGAGCTCAGTCTATACAACAAAAAGTCAATGTTCTCTCAAACTACTGTAATGGTTTCTTTTAATAGACTCACCCTTTCACATATATATGGAAACCTCAATATTGGTCCAGGGTTTGGGGGGTTTGGGGATACTGCAGAATCCAGCTGAGAGCCTGAAGGCCGGGGGTGGGCTTTATTTATAACACCCCAGCAGTTTCCAAGGGACTGAAATAACAAGACCTTGGATGAGATGAGTCATACAGATTCACAGGATCAGAGAAGTCAGAGAGGATCAAAGGACGGATGAGCCTTCCAGCTCACTGCCCCTCAGCAACGAAAAGACTCATTTCACGGAGCTTTCTCTAATCTGTCCCAACTAATTTTTCAAGGATCGAGTCTAGAAGAAGGTTCAACAGGAGACTTAGTTGCTATAGCCACTTGGATCTTAGACAATGGGGATTTCAGTGGGATAATGAAAAGCCTCATGTCATAATTCCTTCCCCCAAACAAAATGAATGAAAGTCGAAGCCCTCTTTAGGAGGGAGGGATGAAAGACATAGCTGAGCAATTTCCACAGCATTCAGAAATAAATATAGACCTCACTGAGCATCATAAATAAGTAACTGATCTAGTCAAGTGTAGTTACATAACTATGTATCTGCTAGGCATGCCTGTCTGTTTGTTTTTTCTCTTTAATTCTCTGTTCTATGATGTCTGCCCACAGAGATCCAATGGGGTGTGATGTTAATGTAAAATACACTGGTCATAACTTACAGCATGTGTCTCACTCATCATCTCACCTTGTAATAAAGGTGAGAAGTGTTCGGTGGGCATGGTCTCGTGAACTGACGGGCAAGATGATCGTCGGGACTCTGGGAGCAGGTTGATGATGAGAGAGCTATCTGTGTTTGTTTCCACGCCCACTTCTCTGGGCTTCTATGCAGTTAACCTAGTGTAAAGGGCAGTATAGCCCACATAGACCAGATCTGGCAAGTCAGGCCTGGCTGAGAAGACACATTGGGTCATCCCCACCCCCACCCCCACCCCCCACCCCCCACCCCTGTCTAAAGCAGTGTACAGAAGCCAAACGGAACTAGACTTGGGATGGCACAGCCTTCCAGCAACTTCTGCGGTGTGAGAAGAGACTGGACACCAGAGTAAGATGATCTGTCAGTACCTCAAATCCAGCCCAACCTCTCAACTCAGCAATCCATTCTTGGGAGACTCTGACCTTCCTGGGGTGATGGGAGCTGAGGACCATGCCATATGGCTCTGGGATGCCACAGCCAGCTGCAGAATTCCCATATCAGCCCCTCTGCCAGCACGATCACAACTGGCCAGGACTGGTCCCTGAAGGCCTCCATTGGCTACCTCTATTCTGGGAAGGCCAGCAGGTTCATTTCTCCAAGGTAAGCCACCTTTTGTCACAAACCCTCCATGAAATACTGTCCACCTCATCCCTGTCTGTAGTGAGATAAAGAATCTATAGCTTCCCGTCTAAGCACAAAGTGTGACTTCCTTATGTGTGACATGGGTTTTCTCTATTTGCCAGCACCCATCCCAAATACAATCTCTCCTTTCCTGCCCTATTCTGTGCCTTGTGTGTACTATACGTTACCCAGAATCCATTGCCCTCCAGCGTTTGGTAGCTTGGCATGAGAAGAAATTGCAGATGATCCAAGTAGGAAAGAGAGCCCAGGACAGGTCTTTCCTGGCTCTTTTGGTTTTTGGTTTGGTGTGGTTTGGTTTTTCAAGATGGGGTTTCTCTGTGTAGCCTCGGCTGTCCTGGAACTTGCTTTGTAGACCAGGGCTGGCCTCGAATTCAGAGATCCACTTGCCACTACCTCCTGAGTGCTGGGATCAAAGGCATGCACCAAGACTGCCTGGCTCTTTCCAGGCTTTAGTCTACATTCTCCTGTTTTGCGGGCCCTCCTTTGATGGGAAAACAGGAGCAGCAATAGCCTCTTTTTAATCATGTGTCCCCAAGTGCCTACAGTCCCTTGCCCTGCTCACACCTCTGTGAGGGTGCCCTTTATGAAAATGTATCCGTTTGAAACACCTAAGTGAAATCTGTTTCCCGATAAGAATTTATTAGAGTAGGTATCATTCAGTCTTAAGATCCTGTAATTCTATACTTGTGGTCTAAGCAGGATGTTAAAACATCCTGAAAGAAATACAGTATAAACAGTAGAATCTTGATTTCCATAATTAGGTGAGATATTCTGCCTCCCTCTCCCCAAAATCATCTGTGAGTTATTTCTCTAACTCAGGAACTTAGTGTTATAAAAGGATTTGTGAATATTCATTGAATCTAGTTCTAACAAATCAACTAAATAGTTACCTTGAAAAACACATAAGCTTTCAATAAAATAATATGATTTGGACTTGGGTGAGAACATGGTATTCACTCATTAAGTGATGATAACAAAATAATAACTGTTGTAGACTCATGCCAACTCTCTGTGTGTTTTTTTACTTACATTGTTCACATTCTGGTACTTTTTCTATGTGTGTTCTGCGCCCAGGACTCCATTCTCCATCTATAAAATGTGTTTTAACAGAGACTGTGCCTTTGTTACTGAATTACTATAGAGAATCCTCTTTGCTCTGATCCACTTGGCAACATGTTGGCTGCCTGCTTGTTTAGTCTCTTGCTTTCCCACAGGAAGAGTAATCTTATTTAGTAATTTGAATATATAGCTCACAATGTCAATTGTTGCCAGTAGTTACTGTCGCTACTTTTTAAATTGAGAATTAAGATATTTGTCCCAGAAAAAAAATTAGTTTCAAATAAAATACTGTTTTATTGTGTGTTGGGTTTTGACCCACAGATTTTTCCCATCAATTTTCTGAGCCTTCCTCCAAGGGAAAGGCACATAATCCCTCTCACTAGACTCCCCTAGTTTCTGATTGCTTCTGGCACATTCACAAAACAACATCCTGGGGATCAAAGGCTTAAGATTACACAATGAAGAATGTTCTAGATGTCTGGAAATGGAAAGCCTACATTCCTCTAGGAGAGTTTTCCTTCTTCCTGAATCGTGAATTCCTAAACCCTCCTGGTCTTCTGGAACTTGGAGCCCTCTGATTTGGCTTCTACAAGCTGCTGTGGCTTTGACTGGGACCGACTCCTTAGCATAAACTGTTCCCTGATGCTGCAGCCTGCCGCCTTGGACCCTACTGAGGGAGTCATCGAGTCATTGGGCCTCTCCCCTAAGACTCTGACTCCATATGATTTCTGAAATCAAGTTAGAAGCACAAAGGTCATGTCACTGAGAGGTGACCTTTCTTCCTAATGCCATGCTGGGTTACTATCTAGCTTCCTACAGTTTCCTTCCCCCATATTGCATGTACGTGTCTATGTGTGCATGTGTGTGTAATTGCTAATGTAATCTGTAGAAGAGTAGCCCAAGACTGGCCCTGGGATGTTCAGGCCCTGTGATTTTTTTTTTTTTGCTTCTTTGGAGAGCCGTTTAAATCATTTTAGTATAAAGAATACTTCCCGAGTACAGACCAAACTTTAAAATAGTTTTCCAATCACCTCCCCATAAAGCATTCACATATTAAGCAGAAATCTATCTGCCTTAGCATTTCTAGTGTGGCCATTTGAAACATCTCCCAGGCAAGAGCAGTTCAAGGCCTTTGGGCTTATTTGTAACAATCTGCAAAATCAGAACATCACTCAACACCCATCTTTACCTGTGCAACACATATTCTCTTGCCAAACTTTCTCATTCTGCACCAGCACACATCTCTGAGACACCTCCCTCTCAGAGACCCCGTCTGCATCCTCAGATGCTCTTGTTGTTTCGAGACAGGGTTTCTCTGTGTAGCTTTGAAGCCTGTCTCTCTCTGTAGACCAGGCTGGCCTGGAACTCACAGAGATCTGCCTGCCTCTGCCTCCTGAGTGCTGGGATTAAAGGCGTGCGCTGCTGCCACCACCCAATTCAGAGGGTTTTTTTTTTTTTTAATAGCTAAGAAATACTAAATGAGAACTCATTAGAAAATGAACACTTCAAAATGTTCTCTGGCATGGGTGGTGTTTCCTAACAGTAAATCCTTGGAGAGGAGAGCAGTGAAGGAAAATGAGACATTGAAACTAGAAAAGGAACTGTCCCCACAGCCCAGTCTCACCTGCTTTGAAACTGGGGGTTGACTGGCCCTTAGGAGTTGGTATTTTTTGTCAAAATCCAGAAAACATAGAGAGTTCAATACATATGCTGAACTTCACTTGGTTTATTAAGTGAGGACCGAACAGAAGTGGATTTTGAAACATGTTCTTTCCTGTTGACACATGTTCAAAGAATGTCTGAAGGAAATACTAAATTAAAATACAGACTGATTCAACTATTGGCATCAAGTAAATCTCTTACAATGAAATATGGCTGCTATCTTGAACACAAGGGGAAAGAAAAGAAGGTTCCCAACATCAAAATTTTGTTGATGGAAACAATGAAAATCTTAATTTAGAATTGTTTTTTTATGTTATTTTGACTTTAGCTTTGTGAATTCCCTTTGGAGACGGTTACTCAAAATGGCTCTATTATGTCTCTGGTTCCTGATATTACTGGGGTAAAGAATATATGAAGGAAATAAAATACTTTAATATTTAAAGTTGAGAAGAAACAGCTCTAAATAAACAGCTATGAATATTCTTGCAATGTATGATACTTTGTAAGCTCTTGATTAAGTGCCTAATTTGGCATAATCATCTTACCATCCTTTTATTCACTTACAAGTTTATAGAGGACCTGATGCAGTGCTCATCAGAGGAGTTCCATAAGGCATTAGCGTTATAATTTAAAAACCGTGGGGGGCGGTCTCGGCGGGCTGGAGCCAAGGGGCCCCACAGCGGGTGAGAGAGAGACAGAACATACAGACAGCTCTCACATAAAGGATTTTCTTGGGGGGAAGGAGAGATGGGATGCAGAGTGTGCCTCTGGAGATAAAGGCTGAGGAGAGAGAAGGAATGAGAGAGCAAGAGAAGAAGACACAGAAAGGAGGAAAGGAAGGGGATGTAGATGCGGTCTCATGGAAAGAGAGAGGAGGAGAGAGAAAAGGTGGGCGGGGCCGCCTTTTAAAGGGGGTCAGCGCATGTGCACAGAGACCCCACAGCAATGACCTCGGCTGGCCGGTGGTGGCGCACGCCTTTAACCCCAGCAATCGGGAGGCAGAGGCAAGCGGATCTCTGTGAGTTCGAGGCTAACCTGGTCTCCAAAGCGAGTTCCAGGAAAGGCGCAAAGCTACACAGAGAAACTCTGTCTCGAAAAACAAAAAAACAACAGCAATGAACTCATGATGTTGTCACGACTCTGAGCAGGCCAAAGTACTTGCCTGCATATAGGCAAGCGCATGTACGAAGGGAAGACGCGTCCTGTCAGGTCCCAAGGGGCAGCGGGCTAGGCATGCTTGGATGCTGACAATTAGGTCGCAGTATGTACATTCCAACTTCACAAAGAGATTCACAGTTGTGTTCAGGCAAAGAACTTCTCTGCAATTTGTCTGTATCCTGAGGCTTTGCATGAGGCTGGATTTAAAAGTAGTGTGGTTGTCTTAGTTAGGGTTTCTGTGGCTGTGATGAAACACCATGACCAAAAAAACAAGTTGGGGAGGAAAGGGTTTATTTGGCTTACACTTCCAGACCACACAGTCCATCATTGGAAGAAGTCAGAACAGGAACTCAAGCAGGGCAGGAACCTGGAGGCAGGAGCTGATGCAGAGGCCATGGAGGGAAACTGTTTACAGGCTTGCTTCAATGGCTTGCTCATCCCACCTTCTTATTGAACCCAGGATCACCAGCCCAGGGATGGCACCACCCACCATGGTTTGGGTCCTCCCCCATTGACCACTAATTGAGAAAATACCTTACAGCTGGATCTCATGGAGGTGTTTCCTCAACTGAGGCTCCTTCCTCTCTGATGACTCTAGCTTGTGTCAAGATGACACACAAAGCTAGCCAGTACAGTGGTGATTCATGCACAGGAGGACATTTCAAGGAAGCATTTGCACTATGAAATGCACCTTGATGGCTGCTTTTAACCAGAATTATAGTGGAGCAGAAATGTTTGAGAAATTTGTAGTTTACTAAAAAAAAAGTGTATAGAGCTAAAGAAGTCAAGTACTTTACACTGGGACCCCAGAAAAGATGTCATAAGGGGACCAGATCTCAGTCATTGTAGGCTCAAGAATACAAAGAATAAACTCCTTGAAAAGATCCCCCACCCAAGAGGGAAAAAAAAAGAGTTCCTCTAGGGCAGTGGTTCTCAACCTGTGGGTTGCGGTAGTCTAGGGCCATCGGAAATATTAGATATTTACATTACAAAATGTAGCAAAATGACAGTTATGAAGAAGGAATGAGAACAATTCTATGGTCGGGGTCAGCACAGCATGAGGAACTGTATTAAAGGGT